GTAAACTGCGCTAAATGTGTGGTCTCCTCCGTCCCTCGCCTGGGCCCCCCAGCGTTAATAGAAGGGTGAGGAGGCCGAGCGCTCTTGCAGTGCCCCCTGGGTGCGTGACTGAAGTGGGGTTCCCCAGTGCCGATCCTTGTTGTTGTGCGTTCTGCGATCCACCAGCGCTCCCCTCGGAGCCATCTCCTCTTCTCTCAATGCGGTCCCTGGCCCCCTCTCGCCCGCGCACACGCCTCGGGCCATGATGCGCTAGACCCCCTCTTCGAGTGTGCTTTCACCTAGGAGCGAGGGGGGCGGCATGGCGAGGCCCGAAAGTAGATCTGGATTTCGCGCAAGCCCAGACTCGGAGCGCTTCTCCACGCCCCCCGTCGGGGCCTGCTCCCTTCCTTGCCCATCCCCCTCGGGCCACCCGTCGCCCTCTCGCTGCCCCCGCCCGGCAACTCCTCCCCCTCCGCCTCCTCCTCCTCCGCCTCCTCCTCCTCGTCCTCCTCCTCCTCCTCCCCCTCCTCCTCCTCCTCCTCCTCCTCCTCCTCCTCCTCTCCTCCTCCTCCTCCTCCTCCTCCTCCTCCTCCTCCTCCTCCTCCCCCTCCTCCTCCTCCTCCTCCTCCTCCGCCTCCTCCTCCTCCTCCCTGGTCCTTTATCCCCCCATCCTCCTTTCTCCTGCGCCCGCCTCTCCGGTCCTCGCCGCCGCCGCTGTCGTCGTGGTCCTCGCCGATGCCGCCGCCGCCGCCGCCGCCGTCCACAGGACCTCGCCCCCGTCGCCGACGCCGTCTCCGACGCCGCTCGCCGCCGACGCTGTTCCGAGCCCAGAGCCCGCTCCGAAGTTGTCGGTCCGCAGACCCCTCGCGGAGGGCCCCTCCTCCCTCCCTCCTCCTCTCCTCCTCCTCCTCCTCCCCTCCTCCTCCTCCTCCTCCTCCTCTCCTCCTCCTCCTCCTCCTCCTCCTCCTCCTCCTCCTCCTCCTCCTCCTCCTCCTCCTCCTCCTCCTCCCCGGCGCGCTCCGCTCCAGCAGAGCGCGCGCCGGGGCCGTCGCTGCCGACGCCGCCGACGCCCGTCGCTCTCGTCGCTGGCCGCCGCCACCGCCCCCCCTCGGGGCACCGCGGCGGTCTTCTGCTGAAAGTCAAAGGTGCGCTCAACTACGAGAGCTAGTTGACTTGTCTCCTCATCTTGAGGAAGTCATCCCTCGAGAAGTTCATGCAGTTTCCCCTGCCACGGGGTGTGTTCATGAATATTCAGGGCTCAAAGTTGGTACCGAGGTGGTTCAAGCAGAGCTGCTCGGCTGCGCGCCAGAGGGGCCTCTCGCCAGAGCGACCTGCGGCGCGGGCCCTTCTTGGGGGCGCTCCGGCCGCCCAGCGCGGTGCGCTGGCGGCGGCGGAATGGCGCGCTCGGCCTCTGAAGCCCGCCCCCCGCATGGCTGATTTTGAATCCCCCGGTTCGATGCGATTCGAGTTCGATGGCTTCCGATTCCGACTCGCCTTCGGCTTCCGCCTTGGGCTCCGATTCCTCAACGGAGGCATGAGATTTCGTAATAAAAGGAGGGGGTCTGGACCCTCCAAGACAAGCCATTTCAGACCTCCCCCGTGGGAGAACCCTCCAAAACATCGTCCCCAGACCCCCCGGCCCTCCAAGATAGCCTGGAAGAGACCCCCCCCCGAAATGAGACTCCCCTCCCTTTATTACTAATTTTGGAGTAGCCTGCCCATTCACACCGATTCGATTTCTCCCGACTCGGCCGCCGATCTCCGCCGCTCCGATGGTGTCGATGGCCGATCCGACTTCTCGATTCGATGCTGGGCTCTCCTGCCCCCCCCCGGCGCCCCCCGGTTGCCTCGCGCCCATCGGCAGAGGGCGCTGCGGGTGTCGTTGGCCTGGGGCGCCCCCGGCTCCTCGCTCCCTCTTGGAGGCCCCATAAGGCCTTGAGACTGTTTTTGTTTGTGGATTCAGGCAAGTTTACTTGCATGGCGTTCGCCCCCCCTCCCCCCCCCCCTCGCCCCTCTTCAAGCGAATACTAGCGTGCAAGTGCCTTTCGACTTGCGTGATTTCCGCGCCCCCCAACCCCCCGGGCTTGCTTCAGGCTCAGCCCCCCCCCCCCCGTCCATGCAAGTAAACTTGCCAGAGTCTAAGAAAAACATGCTCCTTCGTGGCCTCGCAGCTGGGTGCTCCGGAGGCCACTTGGGCCTTCCCTTCGCGGCACTCTGGGGATGCCTTGGGCCAGGGGCACCTCTGGCAACACCCGAACTGCAGGCCACTCGTTGCCTCGGGCCACTCCTTGCATGTAGCCAGCCCGCGCGCACGATAAAAGATAACAAATGTGATTAACAAAAATCAGAACAAGTGTGATCAAATACATGTTTTTTTTTTATCACACTTGTTCCGAGCACAGTCCTGCTTGCATCACCCTTGCGTTGTATCACACCTGTTCGGAACCGCAGGGCACTCGTTGCCTCAGGCCACTCCTCACATGTAGCCGGCCGGCGTGCGCGCGCGAGGGGCTGCTCCCCGCCGGCGCGGCCAGCGGCCAGCCCCCGGCGAGCGGAGGAGCGCCCGGCGGCGCCGCCGCCCCGCGTCGCCGTCGCCGTCGTCGTCCGAGGCCTTGTCGTGGCGGCGATCGTCCTGGCCGTCGCCTGTGAGTCTAGGTATGCCAGATAGGCCTCCTCCTCCTCCTCCGCCTCCTCTTTTACTCCTCCTCCTCCTCCTCCTCCGCCTTCGCCTCCGCCTCCTCCCCATCCTGCGCCTCCTCCTTCTCCTCCTCCTCTGCCTCCTGGCTCTGCCTCCTGGCCTTTGAATCTAGGCCTCCCAGGTGGAATCCGAGTAGATCCTCCAAGGCGCCCTAAGACCCCCCGAAAAGACCCCAGTACCAGCCAAAAGGGAACCGAGAAGGGCCCCCAGAGGGCATCTAGGAGGCCTCTATTTTCGAGGCGGCGATCGTCCTGACCGTCGCCTTTGAGGTCGTCAAGTCGTTGTGGCCGTGGGTCGCCGTCGGGTTCCGCGCCCGTCGTCGTCGAGGCCTTCGTATCCGTCGTGGCTGTCGTTGTCGTGGCGCTCTTCGTCGTGGTGGTTGGGGGCCACCCTCCCCTCCTCTCGAGGGCCTCAATCACGCCAACAGTGGACCTAGAACAGAGGAAACTTGTAGCTAGAATTTGGGAGCTAGAACTGGTGAAGGGGACAGGACAGTCCAGGGCACGCAGCCTGTTGGCCTCCATAGGGGCCGACGGATTGGTTTCGCCTCCCAGCCGCGCACGCTTGTTGTAAGACCTTGTGATACTTACACAGATGGAGGGCTGCTCGTTTTCACAGTTTGTAGCGCCCCGCAGTTGCGGATACGAGTGAGGGGGCGGGCGCGGGGTGGGTCGCGGACGGGTCGCGGGATGCCCGCTCGGATTATCAACATGAAGGACGGGCCCCATAGGGAAGGGGTTCCCGCCTGAGATGTCCTCACAATTCACTCGCAAAGGAGTCTCTCGCTCGAGACTTCCTCCATATTCAGGCCAGGGGATCCCAAAACTGATAATAATAATAATGATAATAATAATAGTAATAATAATAGTATTAATAATAATAATAATAACAATAATAATCATAATAATAATAGTAATAGTAATAGTAATAATAATGATACTGATGATGATGATGATGATGATGATGATGATGATGATGATGATGATGATGACGATGATGATGATGATGATGATGATGATGATGATGATGATGATGATGATGATGATGATGATGATGATGATGATGATGATGATGAGTGTGATGAGTGTGATGAGTGTGATGATGAGTGGTGAGAGTGATGGTGATGACGATGGTGGTGATGATGACGATGGTGATCATGGTGTGGTTGCAAGTAAGTAAGTGAGTGAGTGAGTGAGGAGTGGCGAGCGAGTGGGTGAGTGAGTAATAGAGTGATGATGCTGATGATGACGGTGATGACGGGGTGATTGTGATGGCTAAGATGCTTGTGATGATATCGCCGTGCTGGTGTTGATGCTGATGATGATAATAATAATAATGCTCACGATGCTGATGCTGCTGATGATGCTATGCATACTGATGATGATGATCATGATGATGATGATGATGATGATGATGATGATTATGATGATGATGATGATGATGATGATGATGATGATGATGATGGTGATGATGATGATGATGATGATGATGGTGGTGGTGATGATGATGATGATGATGCTGAGCATGCTTCTGACGATGATGATGCTGATGATGCTGACGATGGTGTTGATGGCCATGGTGAGGTGTGAATCAGTGAGTGAGTGTGTGAGTCAGTGGGTGAGTGAGTACGAGTGTGACTAGTGTGATGTAGAGGAGAGAGAGGTGTGGATGACAGGACTGTGCGGGGTGCCCTGTGAAATCAAGAGCCCCACTTAGGATGTGGGGAACAACAACAGCAGCAATCATCATCGTAAGACTGGTCTCTCTGTTCTCTCTGCTCTCCCTTGCATAAGCATATGCATCTTTATGTGCTGGGTTGTTCAATGTTTTCGGGGTCCTCTGCTTTTCAAGCTTCCGACGCTCCCCGACGACCGCCGAGGAACCCGTGCCTATCGAGGAGGGTCCTGTCGCGGACCCCAGGAGCATGTGTTCCGACGGGTTGTTCAATCCCCAAAGGGGTCGAGTGCGACGAAGGCCCACTTGAGGTTAACGATGGACCAATGACCTCGTTCTTCCGGTTCGGGCTGCGGCGCCGAATGTGCTCGTTGGGTTGGTTCTTCCGCAAGGTCGCCAAATGAGACCAGACCAGCACTGATCGTATGCAAAACACACTTGCACCTATTTTGAATTATTGCGGAATGGGACGGGCGTCCGCCAGGGGGTTTCGGTGCTTCTTCCCCCTCTGACCTCTTTGGGCGACCTCCGCAGTCGCCTCGGCTCGGCGTCGCGGCCCGCATGGCCGCCGCGTGCGCCGACGGGCGCTGGCGCCCGGCGGCGCCGACCTCCCCGCGGGGCGGCGCCGCGCGCCGCGCGCCGCGGCCCGCGCGGCGGTATGTGGCGCCCGCCGGCCGCGCCGTGCCCTCCGGGGCCGACGGTGCCGCAGCGCGTGCGCCGGGCGGCGCGGTGGCGTGCCCAGCGGCGAAGCATCAGCGTGGCATCGCTCGGGCGTGTGCACTTTTCCTTCGGCGAGGACCGTCGAGGAGCATCCCTGATCATGTGCCGAAAAAGCCACGCACGAAGCCGAAAAATAAACACAGGGAATGGACGTCCGAGCGATGGCCAGTCGGAGGCGACGACAGGGGCGAACAGCCCAGGGGAGGGCAATACATGCCTCCAGGGGCGCCGAGGAGCTGCGTCTTCGGACAGGCCCGGGAGAATGCGTGCAATGCCCGCCCCTGGGCTATTCGCCCCTGTCGTCGCCGCCGAGTCAGGCATCGGCTACGCGCAAGAGTGACCCCTCGCCAGAGTGACCTTTGGTGCGGGCTCACAGTGGTCCCCTCCGCACTGGCCTGCGCGCTTGGATTTTTGGCCTGCCCGCGGCCCCGCAAAGCCGCGCACCAGAGGCCACTCTTGCCCAGGGTTACTTCTTGCGCGTAGTCGAAAGCAGCGGCGAAGCGTCCTGACAGTCTGGCTGCTGAAACAGTGCCGTCTGACCGACCACCCATCCCCATGCCGATACCCATCCCCATCCCCATCCCTGTCCACCACTGTTTTAGAGCACGAAGCGCCTCCGTCGTGCTTTAAAACAGTCCCCGGGGACTGTTTTAAAACACGACGATGCGAGAGGCGTCCTGAGCAAACGCCGCTGGAGGCCGAGGCGGGAGGAGGGAGGAGGGAGGAGGGAGAAAGGAGGACGGAGGACGGAGGACGGAGCAGGGAGGAGGGAGGAGGGAGAGGAGAGGAGGGAGGAGGGAGGGAGGGAGGGAGGGAGGGAGGAGGGGGGAGGAGGAGGAGGAGGAGTAGGAGGAGGAGGAGGAAAGAGAAGAGAGCAGGAGGAGAGAGGCGGAGGGGAGGCGCAGGCGGCGGAGGAGGAGGAGGGAGGAGGAGGAGGGTCCTTACGCGCCCGCGTTGCCGTCACCGCGTTGCCGTCACCTCCCACCCACCCACCCCTCCAGCTGCACCTCCTCCTCCTCCTCTCCTTCCTCCGCCTCCTCCTTCCCTCTCTCCTCCTCCTCCTCCTCATCCTTCCGCCTGCTGCCTGCTGCTGCGTCTCCTCTCTTTCTCCTCCTTCTCTCTTCCTGCTCCTCCTCCTCCCCTCCTCCTCCTCCTCCTGCTGCTGCACCTCCTGCTCCTCCAGCTCCTCCTGTTCCTGCCTGTTCCTGCTTCTGCTCCTGTTCCTGCTACTGCTCCTGCTCTTGCTCCTTCTCTTCCTTCTTTCCTCTTCCTTCTCCTCCTCCTCCTCCTCCTCCTCTCCCCCTCCTCCATCCTCCTATCCTCCTCCTCCTTATCCTCCTCCTTATCCCTCCTCTTATCCTCCTCCTCCTCCTCCTCCTGCTCCTCCTGCTCCTCCTTATCCTCCTCCTCCCTTCTCCTCCTCCTCATCCTCCTACTCCTACTCCTACTCCTCCTCCTCCTCCTCCTGATCGTCCTCCTCCTTATTGGCCCCTCCTCCTTCTCCTCCTTCTCCTGTTCCTGATTATCCTCCCTCCTCCGTCCTCCTCGCCGTTGTCCTCCTCTTCCTCTTCCTCCCCCGACTCCTGATGTTCCTCCGTGTTCTCTTTCTCCTCTTCCTCGTCCTCCTCGTCCTCCTCTTTCTCCTCCTCCTCCTCCTCCTCCTCCTCCTGCTCCTCCGTCTCCTTCTCCTTCGCCTCTTCCCTCCTTCCTCCTCTTCTTCCTCCTCCTCCTCCTCCTCCTCCTCCTCCTCCTCCTCCTCGTCATCTTGTTCCTCCAACTCCCGATCCTCCTCCTCCTCATCCTCCTGCGGTTCCTCCTCTTCCTCATCCTCCACCTCCTTCTCCTCCTCCCTCCTCCTTCTCCTCCTCCTCCTCCTTCTTATCCTTCTCCTCGTCATCTTCCTCCTCGTCCTCCTCCCCCTCCTCATCCTTATTGCGAAGGCCTGACGGCCGGTGCCGCCGACCCTGTTCGCAATGCGCAGCAAGAGATTACGAGGTTGCTCAAGGTCGGCTTGGCTGGAGCCCAGGGGAAGAGGAGTCCCAGGGGGGGGCGTCGTATCTGACCCGGGGGGGGGGTCGCTACCCCCCCCCCCCTCCCGGCGGGGGAGGGGTCAAAGGGAAGGGGCTTCCCTTCGACTCAATTACGAGGTTGCTCAAGGTCGGCTTGGCTGGAGCCCCCCGTCCTCCCCCCTTCCTCCTCCATGCTCTAATTATCTTCCGTTCCTCCTCTTCCTCCCCTTCCTCCCTCCTCCTCCTCCTCCTCCTCCTCTTTCTCCTCCTCCTCCTTCCTCCTCCATGCTCTATCCCCTCGTCCTCCGTCTCTCACGGCGGAACGCCTCCAAATTCATCTCGCGGCGTCCAGTCGTCGTCGTCGTATTCTCCTCCCTTCTCATCATCACTACCGGTGTGTCGCGTGCTTTAAAACAGTACCCGGGGACTCTTTTCATAAGTTTCGTTCTTAGGGCCTTCGGATTACGTCGAATCACCGCCGCCCCCTGCCCCTTTGGAAGTGCCTATGTGGCCGACAGCTGTGCTAGAGCTTGGCCAAGCTATCGGGCCAGTTGTTCCCCGCGTCGGTTTGGAAAGCCTTCGGAGAACGCGTGCGGGAGCAATAGGAGGAGGATCAGGAGGAGGAGGAGGATGATTAGCAGGAGGGGTGAGGATGAGGATGATGGTGAAGGAGGAGGAGGTGTAGGAGGCGGAGACTTCTTGGGAGTCGTCTTGCGAGGCCTCTTGGGAGGCCTCTGCGGAGCTTCCTGGGGGCCTTTTGGATGCCTCTTGGAAGCCTCTCTGGGCCTCTTTTGGGCTTCTTTGGGGCCTTTGAGGGCTTCTTGGGGGCCTCTTTGGCCGTCTTAGGGCTTGTCCGACCCGTCTGACACCGTCGGAATTCGTCTTGGGGGCCTCTCTGAACCGACATGGGGCTCTCTTGGGGCGTTTCAGGGCCGTCTTTGAGAATATCTTGGACGTCTTGGAGGTCGCCGTCTTGGGGGCCTCTTAGGCTGTCATGGGGCCATCTTGGAGGCCTCTTTGGCGCTCGTGGGTCGATGTTGGGGGCCTCTTGGGCGGTCTTGGGTTGTCGGAGAGCTGAAAAGAAGAGAACATACCAGAATCCTTCAAACACCATAGGATAATCGATGATTCTGGCCCTTTCGGGCCTTCCTGGAGGACGCCTTGGGGTTGTCGTGTGCCGCCTTGGAGGCCTCTTGCGGGCCTTTCGAGCAGTCGAAGGTAATCTTCAGGCCATCCGGGGCCGTTGTGGGTGCATCTTGTGGCCACCTTCGCTGTCTTGGAGGCCTTCTTGGGCGTCTTGGAGGCATCTCGGAGGCCATCTTGGCCGTCTTGGAGGCCGTCTTGGAGGCCGTCTTGGGGCCATCTTGGAGGCCTTTTGGGCGCTCTTGGGTCGATGGTGGGGGCCTATTGGGCCGTCTTGGGCCGTCGGAGAGCTGACAAGAAGACAATGCCACAATCCTCCAAACGCAATACGGAAATCAATGATTTTGGCCCTTTCCGGGCTTCCTGGAGGACGTCTTGGAGGGCTCTTGGGCCGTCTTGGAGGCCTCTTGCGGGCCTAACGGGCCGTCTTAGGCCATCTTGACGCTATCTTGGGCCGTCTTGTGTGCATCTTCTGGCCATTTTAGTTGTCTTGACGGTCATCTAGGGCTTCTTGGAGGCATCTCGGAGGCCATCTTGGCCGTCTTGGAGGCCGTCTTGGGCGTATGGGGGGCCTCTTGGGCCGTGTTGGGGCCTTCTTGGGGTCCTCTTTGGGGCTTCTTGGGCTGTCATGGGGCCATCTTGGAGGCCTCGTGGGCGCTCTTGGGTCGATGTTGGGGGCCTCTTGGGCCGTCTTCGGCCGTCGGAGAGCTGAAAAGGAGCAAACCCCAACATCCTTCAAATACCTAAATGAATTGTACCCAGTCGGGCCTTCCTGGAGGACGTCTTGGAGGGTTCTTGGGTCGTCTCGGAGGCCTCTTGCGGGCCTTTTGGGCAGTCTTAGTTCGGCCATCTTGAGGCCATCTTGGGCCGTCTTGGGTGCATCTTCGGGCCATCTTGGCCGTTTTGGAGGCCATCTTGGCCGCCTTGGAGGCATCTTGGAAGCCATCTTGGCCGACTTGGAGGCCATCTGGGGCTTCTTGGGCGCCTCTTGGGCCGTCTTGGGGCCTTCTTGGGGCCGTCTTCGGGGCCTCGTTGGCCGTCCTCGGGCCGTTTTGGATGCTTCTTGAGCACTCTTGGGACGATCTTGATGGCCTCCTGGGCAGTCTCGGGCCGTCGGAATCCGAAAGGGAGCAAAAGCCACAATCCTTCAAAAACCGTCGGAAAATCAATGATTTTGACCTCTGCGGGCCGTCCTTGAGGACCCTGGAGGACCTCTTCGAGGCCTCTTGGGCCGTCTTGGAGGCCTCTTGGAGGCCTCTTGGAGGCCTCTTGGAGGTCTCTGGGGCCATTCTGGCGCGAACTTGGAGGCATCCTGAACTGTCTGGGGCCGTCTTCGAGGCCATCTTGGACCATCTTTGGCGAATTTGGAGGCCATCTTGGGCCATCGTGGCCATCTTGGAGGCCATCTTGGAGCCGTCTGGAGGAGAAAAACTCTCAGCAGCCACCTTTTGTGCATCTCTGCGCGCCCTTCCAGGTGGCCGGCGGGACGGGTCGAAGCCCCAGGGGGAGTTCTTTTGGAAAAAAGAGCCAGAACCAAATGCGACAGGATTTAGCACGCCGGGCACCCTTGTGACAGGCCAACAGGGGGCGGCGGATCGAAGATGCCTACGGCGAATCACCGCCGCCCCCTGCCCCTTTGGAGGCGCCTTTGTGGACGAGAGCTGGGCCAGAGCTTGGCCAAGCTATCGGGCCAGTTGTTCCCCGAGTCGGTTTGGAAAGACCTCGGGGAACGCGTGGGGGAGCAAGAAGAGGAGGAGGGGGAGGATGAGGAAAAAAAAAAAAAGAAGAGGAGGAGGAGGAGGAGGCCTCTTGGGCGCCTCTTGAGGCACTCTTGGGGCCTCCTGCGAGCTTCCTTGGGGCTC